CTCTGCAAGCTAACTTTTAAACCATTCCAGTACATTGATGACATTGAAAAATATGAACTCTACTAAACTATATGGAAGACATTTTTATTTTGTGATAATCTGTGTTAAGTAGTGTCATGAACAATGATGCTTACATCAGGAAGGCTATGGTTGCTATAACACCACAGGCATGGTATGAGTGGTTGAAGTCTTCCATAGTGGGATAAATGACAGCTGCATCTATGATAATCCACCAGCCTGTAAAAAACTAAAACAGACATTAGAAAGTGATGCTAATGAGAAATTACCGTAATTTCATATCATACTAGCTAAAAAGCAAAGTATCTAAATGAAGATATCCATTCTAATGAATTTCAAAAATTTTTAAATGTTCTAGGGCGCCTGGGTGGCTCAGTTGATTAAGCAACTGCCTTAGGCTCAGGTCATGATCCTGGAGTCCCGGGATCGAGTCCCGCATTGGGCTCCCTGCTCAGTGGGGAGTCTGCTTCTCCCTCTGACCCTCCCCCCTCTCATGTGCTCTCTCTCTCTCTCATTCTCGCTCTCTCAAATAAATAAAATCTTTAAAAAAAATTTTTTTTTAAATGTTCTAGCAGTTTCTTGTATGTAATTTGAACATGGCTTAATATGTGAATAAATATTAGATACCCTTAAGTCTGCCAGTAATCACTATGTAATACGAATTTCTTTTCTAAGCCTACTTCAGTCATTATTTTATATTGTTGTAATAGCCTGTGAACTTATTTTGTGAACTAGAAATAAGTTCTATTTTCCCATGGCAGGAGAAAGGAAAAAAGCGATTCAGATTCTGACTGACAGGAGTGGCTTGTTGCTGACATAACCTCCAGAAAGAGGTTATCATTGAAAATGAAAAAAAAAAAAAAAGTATTCAAAATAATAGTGGGAATAGTTATTGTTGACAGAATTTCAGCTATTCTCTTGATGTTGTGAAATAAGTAATGGTTCTGCAGTTCTGCTTTTCCTTTTGATGTATTACAGCACAGTCTACAGATGGTTTTAGGTGTGATGCTAAATTCAATTTAAATACCAAATATAATTTATCTTAATTGAGTTTGGTTTTGGATGTTATCAAGGGTAAATACATAATGAAAAAACATTAAAACTGCACAAATATCAACTGACCACAAGCTAAGAGTAAGATATTAGCCAAATTCTGGTAAGTAGCTTAGAAAGTTTTAAAAAGTAACCCCCTGGGGATGCCTGGGTGGCTCTTTGGGTTAAAAGTCTGCCTTCGGCTCAGGTCATGATCTCAGGGTCCCAGGATCGAGTCCCTCATCAGGCTCCCTGCCCAGGGGGGAGTCTGCTTCTCCCTCTGCCTGCCACTCCCCCTGCTTGTGCACGCGCACACTCTGACAAATAAATAAAATAAAATCTTTAAAAATAAATAAAAGTAACCTCCTGCCCTACCCCCACTCCCAACCATGACCCAGTTAGCTCTGGGAACTGCCATCTTCTGGCAATTTTTTTTTTTTAAATAAAGATTTTTATTTATTTATTTGAGAGAGAATGAGAGAGAGAATGAGAGAGAAAACACGAGAGGGGGGAGGGTCAGAGGGGGAAGCAGACTTCCCCTGAGCAGGGAGCCCGATGCAACTTGATCCCAGGACTCCAGGATCATGACCAGAGCCGAAGGCAGTCGCTTAACCAACTGAGCCACCCAGGCATCCCCTGGCAATTCTTTAAAAATAACTACTGGGGCACCTGGGTGGCTCAGTCCTTAGGCGTCTGCCTTCAGCTCAGGTCATCATCTCAGGGTCCTGGGATTGAGCCCAACGTCGTGGGCAGGCTCCTGGCTCAGTGGGGAGCCTGATTCTCCCTCTCCCTCTGCCTCTCCCCCTGCTCATGCACTCTCTCTCTATCTCTGTGTCTCAAATGAATAAATAAAAAAATCTTAAAAAAAAGTAACTACTTTAGGCTAATCAAATTACTTTTATCAGGTTATAGGCAGTTCCATACTCTATTAATGACATTTTTTCTGGCTAGCACGAGTACTCTTCCTTTTTTTTTAAAAAAAGACTCTCACCTCAGTGTATTCAAGATATTTTCTTCATAAACTAAAATTTAAAGCTTTTTGGGGGGGGATGTTTGTAAGAGCAGAATTTCTATAGTAGTTTTGTTTTTTATTTTTAAGTAATCTCTATGCCCAATGTGGGGCTTGAACTCACAATGCCAAGATCAAGAGTCCCATGCTCTACAGGCAGCCAGCCAGCCAAGCGTCCCTCTATGGTAGTTTTATATTTTGCCATTACTTTAGGATAATTATTTTTCATAGATTATGTCAGAGACTAAGCAAAGAGGAGATATTTAAACTTAGATAATTTTTTTTTAAGATTTTATTTTTAAGTAACCTCTACACCCATCATGGGGCTTGAACTTACAACGCAGAGATCAAGAGTCACATGGTCCACTGACTGAGCCAGCCAGGCGCCCCAAACTTAGATTTTTGTTTGTTTATTTAAAATCCACTATTTAGAGCATATGACAACATAAGAGCATAAAACACAAGTATCAGATGCCTTGAGGGATTTGCAATGTAAATAAAAATTTTATACTATAAATTACTTCTAGGCAATATGCTTTAATGAGCTTCCTGTGTGGTTTTTTCTTTTGTTTTGCTTTTTAATGAGATTGAGAAGAAAGCCAACTCTGGATTATGAAAAAATACAATCTTATCTCTCCACTGCTTTTGACCTGTTTCTTAAACAATTCCTGGTATCTCAATGTACTCACAAAAAGGAGGCACTATCTATATAACGAATAAATATACAAAGCATACTATCTTATATACCATTTTCCACATGCGTTTAAAGAAAACCAATCACTCTACTAATCATTTTTCCAACCATAATGTCAACTCTTAAAATGGAGTAACTCAACTCCCTCGTAAACAAAACATCAACGTTTATTAAAATATAGTGGTCAAAGATAAATAGTACATATTTAAGAACATCATACAGAATTCAAAACATAAAAACAAACACAACAAAATAATGAAGGCCCAAATTATCAATGACACTTACTAGAACACCAGCAGCAATGGAAGCAATAGTATTGCGCTTTTCCCCCCAGTCAATGCATTCTGAGCATCTCAAGCCTTCTAGAAATCCAGACATTTTTTTTCCAGGTCACTTAAAAAACAAACAAACAAAATAAACTCCATTGAAGTACTCCTATTTACTTGCTTCAAACATGAGTTATGTTCCTAGAAAATAATTAACAGTTCAGGAATAATTTAATAAAAGTTAAATACTTTATCTTGGCTACATATACGTTTTCAGAATATTTGATTTAATTTTGATCACTCTCCACATTAAAACCTTGGTAAACAAAATTTGGAATCATTTAGTTTTTTTTTAATTTAAAATAGTTTTGGTATATTTAAGAAATATGAACAAAGGTGGGTATCCACATACGGAAAAATTTCATAATGGTTATTAATTTTAATTCCAAACCAAGTTATTATGTGATTTTAACATTTACAATCCAGGAGCACTAACATGAAGGAGAGAAAAAAGATAAACTTTGGCTCTCAGTTAAAGCATGCACTCAAATGAAAAAATATTTGTCTTGGGAATTTACACATTTTATCATAGAACATGTGTTTCTTCACACTCAGATTAAGAAATTAAACAGTGCACTGCAGGTCTTCTACTCACATCACTTTCTTTCACTTCATTATTTTTTCCAGAACCAATCCTGATTTTTGGTGTTATTTCTATGTAAAGAACACCCATTTCATTTTAATATCTGTCTCTGATTCTAAGAGATGTCTTTCCAGCCAAAAGGAAGCATAAAATTGAAGCTAATATTAATTCAGACCCCCCCCAAATGCACTGCTGAATTACTATAGATGAATTACCACAGCCGACCTAACAAATTACATAGAACACTCCTCGGAACCCAGTTATGCAGACCTGGCCTAAGACACATCCAGACTATCGCTATTTCAGAGTACTGAAAAAGTCTGAATTAGGTATAACTTGCTAATTATCGAGACACACCCAAACTCCTACAGAGACTCTAAATCCGTCTGTTAAGCTACTCCGTACAGAGCAATTCTGATTGCCCAAAACCATGATATTCTAAAGAAGAGCAAGGAGTCCAAGCCTAACATCCCTTTTAAGCATTAAATATTAACACCTGTGATTATAACCAGTGTTAATATGCTTTGGAGACAAGCCCAGTTTTGAAAATTCACCTTTCATTTTCCCTGGGAGGAAGTGCAATCCAGGGTGTGTTACTTTCGGTTCATCTCTATGCCCCCGCCCCAACCCATCCGAGTCCATTCTTCTTGGGTTTATTACCCGCACCCTGCTGCGCAAAGCCCGCCCCCAGACCCGGGATTCCAGGTCTGGAGTGGACGCGAGCTGAGAGGATGTGGGAACTCGTTCTAGCTCGGCCACCCCACCCCCACCCCCCGCCGCGTGAACCCACGGGGTGACACTCGCTCTCGGGGGCTGTTTCTCCAACCCTCAAGGAGGAGATCACAGTGATTTCCACGGATCCCGGGACATCCCGGGGAGGGGCGCTGTCCGGCAGTCCGGCGCAGTGCGCACGCGGCCGTCCGGGAGGAAGCGGCCGGGAAGGGTCCAGGGAGACACAGCCCGAGCCTGCAGCCTCCCAGAAGGTGGAGATAATGACCCCGTCAGCCCCGGCCCGGCAGACAGCCCCGGGCCCGAACCCTCTGGGCCTGTGGCGGCGACCCCCTCTCCCACTCCTGCTCGGCACTTACGTCCAGCCCCGCCCGTGCAGTCGGTCCCGAGCCCGGTGTCGCGCAGCGCGGGGCCGCCTCACTTTCTCCCAGTTTTCAGCCAAGAAAACAAAACAGCCACCCGCCACCGGGTACCCGGATGAAACAGCACCGCCCCCGGAGCTCGGTCGCGCATGCGGGGAGCGGGGCTGAGGGAGCAGTTCGGGGTGGGGGGGCGGGAGGAGAAGAGCGGGGGGAGGGCCAGAGGGAGCCACGCCCACCGCGCCAAAGTCTGTGGGTGCTCCTGGTGCCGGGGGCTGGGGAATTTCCGCGGCGCTCAGTTCGCGTCTGCACCTCAGGAGTGGTAGTCTGACTGCACCTTCCAAAGGAAAGCGTCTGTTGGGCCTTCGTATTCGTCCAGCGTGAGGTGGTAAGTTTTCTAGTGCCGCGGTCGGCTCGTCAGTTATCTCAGAGTGACAGGAAAAGTGCGGGGTCCCGCGTGGTGCAAAAAGCGGTTCTGGGGGGACGCCTGGGTGACTCAGTCGTTAAGCGTCTGCCTTCGGCTCAGGTCATGATCCCAGGGTCCTGGGATCGAGTCCCACATCGCGCTCCTTGCTCAGGGAGGAGCCTGCTTCTCTCTCTCCTTCTGCTCCCCCTGCTTGTGCTCTCTCTCTCTCTCTGACAAATAAATAAATAAAAATCTTAAAAAAAAAAAAAGCGGTTCTGGGTTCACGCCCCCCCCCCTAAGTTTTTAAGTCTTGTTTATTTTCCCAGCGCCTGGCCCCGCCCTCGATGTAGCTCCGCCTCCATAAGGGGTGGAGTCACTCCCAGGAGGCGGGGAGGTTCCGGGTGAGCGTGCGGGTGCTGTGCCCTCCTAGTCCCCGGCGCGCTGACCCTCTTCTGGGACTTGACGTTTTTTCCCGTTGGAGAAAAAGGCACTGCTGACATTTGGGGCCAGATAATTCTGTTTATGAGGGCTTGTCCTGTTGTGCACTGTAGGGTGTTTATCTGCATCCCCGGCCTCTTCCCACTGGATGCCAGGGTCATTCCGGCTGTCGTGACAGCCACATATGCCTCAAAAGGCTAAATATCCCGTTCGCGGGAAAGTCATCTAGGTTGAAGCCAATGTTAAGGAGACGATCTGGGTTTTGGGGAGGTGACCCTTTTCAAAAGCCAGAAGCAGTGAAATCTTGTCTACATGAACGACTTGTAGCCGGTTCGGCCGCTCAGAAGCTGTCGGTCCGGCTCCAGCGGCTCGAGTCGGGCGTCGTCCCGGAGTCGGAGCCGGCCCCGGAACCGAAAGAAAGCAGCGGTTGGAGGAAGAGATCCAGGAAGAGGTCGCAGAGCAGAACCCGTTTTGCGCAAGGGGTTTTGCTAAGGTTGCATGGGTCATTTGTCGTGAAGAGGGACGCAAGGTTCGCCTGTTTTACATGTGAGGCTACAGTATGTGAATAAGCTAGGAACCAAGGTTATGTCGTTTAATTTCTTTTAATTTCCTTTGATGCATAACATCTGTAGCTTTGTGATTTGGAGGGCATTAGCTGATTAGTAGGCAAAACTGGACAATACAACCCGTTTAGCCTATTTTTAAATGGACATAGTTCTTACCCCTCAGGATTAAAGATTAATTATGACTGGGGCGCCTGGGTGGCTCAGTCGTTAAGCGTCTGCCTTCGGCTCAGGGACCGAGCCCCGCATCGGGCTCCCTGCTCAGTGGGGAGCCTGCTTCTCCCTCTGCCCCTCCCCCTGCTTGTACTCTCTCTCTGTCAAATAAATAAAATCTTAAAAAAAAGATTAATTATGACTGTTAAATGGCTGGGGGTGGGTAATATACTGCAGGCAGTTCTTCGTAGAACCTTTTTAATGGTTATTAACGACTTAAGGTTAGTTTAGCAGCTCTGAGCAGCCTATAACAAATCTTGCCTTAAGCTTTTTTTTAAGGATTTTATTTATTAATTTGACAGAGAGAGAGAGAGGGAACACAAGCAGGGGGAGCTGGAGAGGGAGAATCAGGACCCTGGGATCATGACCTGAGCGGGAGGCAGGAGCCTAAGGACTCCACCCAGGCGCCCCTTGCCTTCAGCTTTTAGTAAGTTAACTAATAACTGGGGGGAGCGGTATTAAGTTTTCCTTTTTCTTTAATTTTGTTTTGTCTCTGCCATTTTTTTACATTTACTGGAGTTAACAATAATTGTCAGGTATTTTATAAACATAAGTAAGCACCTTTATGTTGCTTTTATAATAAAGTACATGCTTAATTTATAATAAAGTACAGGCTCATTCTTATCCTTTTTGGAATACGTTGTAGAATTAATGAGTGCTTGTTTTTGTCTTTTCTACGTACAATGGAGCTATTAGAAATAGCAAAAGCCAGCCCAGCTGACTCTTTGGGAATAGCCAACCTTGACTTGCCACCCGGTCTCAGTACTGTTCTTGTAGCTAAAGAATGGAATTTTGTAACAGCTATACCAAATAATGCAAAGTTCAGGTAAGCCAGATTTATCCAAACATAACCTTCAAAAAAAAGAAAAACCCAAAAACTGTAGCCAGAAAGATCTGGTTAACCGTTTTTATTTGATTTACCTTAGAATACACTTCTCAGAAAGTCTAGCTAAATATAATTTGTTAATGTCAAAATAGCAGATCTGAAAATACTAGACAAGCTCTCACTCATGGAAATGGGAGAGTAATCAATTCTATTTTTGGTGACCAACCACACCAGATTGGGACTAGCCCTGAAAGTCCTATATTCCAAGAAACCCTTCCCAGATGTAAAAAGTCCTGGTTTTAACAATGAGTGCCATAGATTGGAAGAAGGGAGGAGATACAAAACCCATATTATGCCCCCCCAAAAGGAAGACAACACCGTTTTTAGTGACAAATGAATCGGGTGATTATCTGCCTTTTGTTGATCACTGACACTGGCAGCCAAGATTTGTGGTTCACAATAATGTATCTATTGTAGCATTCTCTCAGAGCAACTTAAATTCTAATCATGAGTGTGAACAGTCTAATCATAAGCATTAACTCTTGTGCTTTGGAGGGAGATAGCGCTAGTTTAATTTTTAACTTTGTGAATATTGTGACTGTGCTTTCTAAGAATTGAGATAATGAAAATGAGAGTGAGTACAATGTCGATGCCAGCATGACCCAGACAATACCAAAAAAAGAAGACTAAATGGCTGTGTTACTTTAATGACAGTTGGAAGGACACATACAACTGGATTAGGGAGACAAATGATCCAAAGAGAGCACACTGCACAATTTGCAGAAAAGAATTTGGGGTTGGGCATGGTAGAGAAGGGGGTATGAAAACCTGAAGAGACTGAGTACCACAAGTCTGGAATGAGACAAGCAAGTACTTTTGAATCAATGAAAAGTGTCTTCATCTCCCCAAAAGACACCTGTGTTCAATCAAAAAATATCAGCTGCAGTGCACCTACCTGGGTGGCTCAGTCGGTTAAGCATCTGACTCTTGATTTTGGCTCAGGTCATGATCTCAGGACCAAGTCACAAGTTGGGTTCTGCACTGGATGTGGAGCCTGCTTAAGATGATCTCTTTGCCCATCACCCCCCCACCAACAAGCGCGTGCGCCCTCTCTTAAAAAAAAAAAAGAACAGCCGCTGAATTAGTGTGGGCATACCACACGATTGAACCTATGTTATCTTTTCGCTCCCTTCATTGCTCTATGAAACTGGGTAAAATTACATTTCCTGATTCAGAGGTTGCAACTAAAATGTCCTGTGGGCGAACAAAAGGGAAAATTTTGATCACAGTTGTATTGGCCTTGTACAGTGTAGAGCTGATTCTGTCAGATCTTACCAATAATCGTGCCTTCTACAGGATATCAAGTGATGTGTTGTATTATGGCAATAAAAAATGTTCGCCCTAGCTCTTAAGTACTTTGATTTGAAAAATGAAGTTTCAAATCGTCTTCTTGATGGCTATGAAGATTTTTAATGAAACCTTAGAACACATTAAACAAAAGATCAAGCAAACGATACAATAGCAATACAAACAAACTAGATTTGGCTCACCTATCTGCATATTCGGTAGATAGTACAGATGTAAATTTCAGCAAATTCCATTCAGTCTATAAACTTCTTACCAAAGAAAATGGAAGCATCTCATCTGCTAAATGTCTGGCACACCTTGCATACCACAGACTGCTAAAAAGGGATGTGATTTGCTTTCTTGGACATTGAGGCTTTCATAATGAAAGTTTTGGTGACTTCAGTTTCCTCAAAACACGCAGAAACACTTAATGAGACTTTTTGACTTTTAGAAATGGAAGGAGATAGACACCTCAGACATATGCCTACAAGATGGTTGTCACTTGCCAGCCATAGAAAAGATGTTAAAATGTTGGCCAACCATAAAATCCTATTTTCAAAGTGTGGGAAAAGACGAATGTCCTTCTCTAATTTGGAAATACACTGAAGATGAGAATGAAGAAAAGGATTAGACTACAACAGAAATTTATCTGCTGTTTCTCCAGACCTGCTTGCTGATCTTTGAAGAAACTCTCAGGAGCCTAGAAAAAGATAAACTGCCTGCACCTGAGTTATTTGATGTTATGTATAAGTTGCAACAAAAACTCATACAGTGAAGAAATGACTCGTTTTTTTTTTTTTTTGGAAAGAAGACTGCTTCAGAACTGAATAAAATGTCACCAGAAAAGGGCAACCAAATTAAATTAAACAAGACTTTCTCCATTTCTTTCCTAGAATGATGACTTACTTGGAATCCAGTTTCAATTTCACAATCAAATTATGTCTGTGTTTGAAAACCATTTTCCCTGAGAAAGAGAGGTTTAACTTACAGTGATATCCAGTGTGCTTCAGAATGTTTAAAAATGATGGACATTTGAGACACGGACAACCTCTCCGTTGAATTCATAGATGCAAAGGACCTGATTGACAAACAGCTGGTCTACCAAAAAAAAGCCTATAGATAAAGAATGGATGGGCATTTTTGGAGAGCTGGAAACAAAATTCCTACAAGTCTAAGAACCTGTTGTTGCTCATAAGTAAAATCCAAAGTATTCCACGCTCAAATGTTTGTGTTGAGAGGCTGTTTCAGTTGATGTTATTGCATTGGACTGAACACCAGCAATCGATGTAATGTGGGCTTGGTAAGAGCACAGTTACAAGTCAAGAGAAATTTATATTTCACTATATTCAGTTTTACTGCTACATAAAAGAAAAGAAAGATGTCCTAAAGGCTGCAGGCAGTTCACAGAAGTATTATTGGAAAAGGAAACAGAAAGAGTAAAAATATCCTGTATTATGAGACAGAAAGAAACATGCCATTGTCATTTTTTTAAAAATGTTTTTATTTATTTATTTATTCATGAGAGTCAGAGAGAGAGAGAGAGAGAGAGGCAGAGGCAGAGGGAGAAGCAGGCTCCCTGCCTAGCAGGGAGCCCGATGCGGGACTCGATCCCAGGACCCTGGGATCATGACCTGAGCCGAAGGCAGACGCTTAACCATCTGAGCCACCCAGGCGCCCGCCATTGTCATTTTTAATAAATATAGCCACATCTGTTTAGTTCATCTTATTGTATTTATGTTCTTCTTTTAAAAAGTCACATATTTTGTGGATACCTAGGTGACTCAGTTGGTTAACGGTCCAACTCTTGGTTTCGGCTCTGGTCATGATCTCATGGGTTGTGGGATCAAGTCCAGAGTCGGGCTCCATGCTCAGTGCGGAGTCTGCTTGGGATTCTCTTTCTCTCTCTTCTCCCTCTACCCCTTCCCCCACTCACACTCTCTCTCTTTCTCTCTAGGATAAATAAATAAATCTTTTTTAAAAGAAAAAAGTCACGTATTTTACATCTTAAGACTAAAGATTAATATAGCCTTTAAAATTTAAATAGTTGTTTAAAAAAAGTTAATTATTGTATCAGAGAAGACAAAGGCATAAAAATATTGTTACATGTTTCTCATACATTATTTAATCAGTCCTGTTATTACTAACTGTTAATGTTAACTAGTCCTATTTAAATAATGGCATATAGGTAACCTAAAGATAAATAATGGAATATATATTTTCAAGCAGATACCTGTCTTTCATATTTTTATGTTAAATAATAATACTTAGGTATAATTATTTTTCATTTTATTATGGTCTGTGTGTATGCTTTTTAGTTTGTTTTAGCTTTTTTTTTTTTTTTTAAAGATTTTTATTCATTTGAGACACAGAGATACAGAGAGCATGAGCAGGGGGAGAGGCAGAGGGAGAAGCAGGCTCCCCACTGAGTCAGGAGCCCAATGTGGGGCTCGATCCCAGGACTCTGGGATCATGACCTGAGCCGAAGGCAGACATTTAACCATCTGAGCCACCCAGGCGCCCCTAGTTTGTTTTAGCTTTGTCCTGTATTGGCTGTCCCTACAGTCAGTCCTTTTACCTTCGTAACTATGGAATTTTGGTTCCTGTTTTAAGTAGATTCTCTTTGAGATTTTCCCCTACTGTGGTACCAATTATCTTTTGCTAAAGAGAACCACCAAATAATTACTTTTGGCTGAGGGGATAAGGAAGGGCTTTGTAGGTCGAATTGAGTCTGTTAAAATAAAATGGAAACGAGCCTTAAAAATAGATTAAACCAGGTAAGCCATGTAAGCAAAACTTAACCTAGCTTATTTCATGAATGTGAGCAAAATTTAGTTTAGGCTCTGTTTTGTAAATGCCTCTGATAATCATAAACAAAACTTAAATTGTTTTACTAAAATGGTGTAAGATAATCACTTTTTTTTATTTTAGAGAGAGGGAGTGCACGCATGCAAGCAGGGGGAGGGGGAGAGGGAGAGAGAGAATCCTTTTTTTTTTTTAAGATTTTATTTATTTATTCAACAGAGAGAGACACAGTGAGAGAGGGAACACAAGCAGAGGGAGTGGGAGAGGGAGAAGCAGGCTGCCCGTGGAGAAGGGAGCTTGATGCGGGGCTTGATCCGAGGACCCTGGGATCATGACGTGAGCTGAAGGCAGACGCTTAATGACTGAGCCACCGAGGTGCCCCGAGAGAATCCTAAGCAGACTCCAAGCTGAGCACGGAGCCAGTTGCAGGACTCCATCACAGAACACTGAGATCATGACCTAAGCCAATATCAAGAGTCGGACAGTTAACCAACCGAGCCACCCAGGTGCCCCTAAGATAATCACTTTTAACCAATGCCTGTGAAACACCCATTGTAATAATGCATCATTGCAAAGTTATCAGTCTCATGTTATAAGCCATCTTGTATTTGATCTTCTTGCCATTTTTGGTTTGAACTTTGATCTTCTTGCCATTTTTGGTTTGAACTTCTTGCTAGTTTTGGTTTGAAGTCTCCTAGCTTGCGAACTGTTCTTTTGTATGCACAATAAACTCAACATTTTAATTTGATCTGATTTTAGTTTTGACAGTTTCTGGTGTCAGAAATGGGATCTGAAGAAGAGCCCTAAAGAGCCCCCAGGTGAGTGAGGAACCAGGTGCCAGTACCTAATGAGCCCATTGTGCCTACTGCTTTCTCACTGACTATGGAGTTCCAGGCTAAGTCTCTCCTAAATCAGAGCTCCATTTTCTTTATGTTTTGAGCTCTCTGACTTTATTGTGTATATCAGTGTTTTGTTCAACCTTCTTGGTTACCCTTCTGTTTATAAGAGGAGAAAAATGCATGATTACCTGTGTTTCTAGACAGCAGTAAAATTCTCAGGATCCCTATAGATACAGCCATTTTAGAGAATCTAAGGCAAAGATTCATTCCAATTGGTCTAAAACACTTTACCCACTTCTTTCAAAAACTCCTACCTCCTATATGTATATCCATTTAACACCAGGATCTTACCGTTTTTGGAGAAATGGGTGCTCTCTACATAGGATAATGTGGAATTTCAGTGGCCACTTTGGGGAAACTTTAACTTAGGTAAGATAGTTCACCTTAGGGGTACCCTGAAAGAGATGATCCTGAACCTTGCCAAAACAATGGAATGCATTCCTTGATTGGTATAGAGGCCCCCAAAAGACAAAACGACTCTAAAATAGACTCTCTAGAGGAATCACTACAAGCCAATGAAAAACTTAAGGCCAAAGCTCTGACATGAGTGACTTGAGCAACCTCCAACTAATCCCTCTGCTCCTCTTTATCCTCCTCTACCTGATTATTCTGAACCCACTAACCACTTTGATCTTTTGCCCTTTCCCTTCAAACCCCCTAAGTATCAGCTGTCCTTTAAGATAAGACCTTCTAGTGAACCAGGGATCCTAGCCTCAGCAGAATTTAAACTCTGGACTCAAGCCAAACTTTGAGCTCTTGTAAGTGATTTTCTAGACCCTAAAAGGACCAAATTAAAATTATAGAATAACTTAAAACTTTTCTTGGTGCCTATGTTCCTAGACTACCTGATTTTTACCAGTTTGTTAACATGATAGCAAGTCCAGAGGATGCTCAAAAATGGCTTCAAGGGGTGCCTGGGTGGGTCAGTCAGTTGGGCATCTGACTTCAGCTCGGGTCATGATCTCAGGGTCCTGGGATCGGCCCCAGCTTGGGCTCTGCGCTCAGAGGGGAGTCTACTTGTTCCTCTCCCTCTACCACTGCCCCCCCCACTCGTGCACGCTCTCTCTCTCTCTCTCAAATAAATAAATAAAAATCTTAAAAAAATGTCTTCAAGAAATATATCGGAAAGTCCCTACCCAAGATTTTGAGGAGCCCACCAAACATGCTTCTAGAGATAAATAAAAAGAGCAAAATAAATAAATAAAAACATAAGTCAACTGCTTCTTGTAGCAATTCCCGAAGTTTTCCCTATGAGAATATACTGGGCTGTAATATAACCCTGTAAACAAAAATGGGTGAACCAGTGGCAGATTTCTGAATTCATTTAGAGTTAGTATTTAGACAACACACTGGTCACAAAGACCTGGGAATGGTTTTGCCCTGTGTGCCCATTTTGTTAATGACCAGTACTCCTCAAACCTGTCCATCAGAAACAAGGGAAGTCTGAGAAACTGTCACAGGTACTATATCTCAACCTTATTCTTAGAGTATTTTCAACTGCAGTGAACTCTGTGAAGAGCACTTAAGCTTTCTCTTCTAACTCCAACAAGAGGCAGTGCTACTCAAAGTCAATTTGTTAAAGACTTAGAGACCTAGAGCTTGAAAGAAAACTGAGCTGTCATAGTCATCCTCTGAGGGAACAGGCTCCAAGTTTTATGTGATTTGCTTTTGGACATAGTGAAGTAAATTGGGAGAACTCGGACTAACCCATATCCAGCTTCCATGTTGATTCTCATTCCATTATCCATATGGATTGAACTTTAAAACACTGCAAACTTAAACTTTAGTAAGATATTAAGAATTTTCTGGATAGCATTGTTGCAAAAGTTGACTTTGGTACCCTACTGGCATGGGTGGTAACCATAGTATAACTACAGAATTGGAAACTTAAACTTTAGCAAATTATTAGACATTTTCTAGAGAGGGGCACAGAGTTCTGTTCGTTTTGCTCTCCTGTACACAGCGGTGCTAACTGGCAGTATATGGCTAAGTCTTTGTGCAGTTTTCTTTCTACTCCTCCCTCAGCCCCTCCTCTCTCCCATGCTTTCTCTCTCTGTCTCAAAAAATAATAATAATAATCCAGTGAGAAAGACGATTGGATATATGTATAGATAAAACAAGATTGACCAAGTGTTGGTAGTTGTTGAGGTAACATGATGAGTAGATGAGGGTCTCTTATCCTGCAATATTTACTTCTGTATATGCCTGAAGTTTTCCATTATCAAAAGTTAAAAATCATTATTTATATTATAAAAGACAAGAATGATGGGTAATAGGAGCTAGCTAGCAATAAAATAATGGTGCGGCAGGCTGGTGGTACATCTGGTAGATTTTACTTTCTTCTATACTGTCTTTCTTCTATTTTATTGTATATGGACATAGCTGAACTCACTACACTACCACCAGAACTTTCAGTATCACAATCTTACTTATGGCTCTAAGGTCTTATACAAATCTCCATCCCCATCTATGAGGTTTCTTCATAGGCAAGGCAGGAGTATTTCAAGGGCTGGTATAGGGAATAAGCCTCTGACTTACTAAATCTTCTGTTATAGGAGTGAGCTCTCTCTGGCCTTGGGTTTTAAGGGGTATGGAGGAAGCAGTTTAGAAAGATCAATCTGAATTTTAATGGGTTTGGTACTTCTGATTTTTTTCCACATCTGTGGAAGAGACCCACAGAGTATCAAGGATTCCGGAGAGATCTATCGCATCTACACTTCCATCGAATTGAATAGTCTCCTTGGGACAATCAATTTGGACTTGGAGAACACATAATGCTTCAGTGTCTGATGAGTCTGAAAACTCTATTTCTCCTGAGGAAAATTTTATGTGGCCTCCTAATATAGAAAGCAGGTCTCTACCTAGGAAATTCACAAGGGCAATAATCACATAATAGAAAGGTATGACCTTCAGAGAAAGGGCCAAGGGTAACAGTTATGGATTCCAGTAAAGAAACTCTTTGAACTTGACTAGAAACTTCCACTGCTAAGATATTTTTATTACTCCAAGTTCTTCATGCATAATGGTGGGGTTTCATGTATAATGGTGGGGTGTAAAGTAAATAGAGTAGTTGCTCTGGTATCTATCGACACAGTAGAAATGTCCCCATTTAAGTGTAGTTTAATTTTCCTTGTTAATTTAAGGAATTATTGGAAGTAGCTTACCAGGCAAATTCTCGGAGGCCTGTCACTGTTGACAGTGATCACCAGAGTCTGGGAGATGAGGACCCTCTTCTTACATGGCAACGGGATTGTTTAACAGGCCCTCCATTTAAAAGTAGGCAATTCTTTTTCCAATGTCTCTTTTGAGTACAGTATTGACAGGCATCTCTATCAACTGGGGCAAAACTTGGGGCAGGAGTGGATCTCTTGAAGTTGGGTCAAGGTCCCTGAAATTGTTGCAGCTGTAGGACCATGACTTTATTCATTTGATAGCCTTTTTTGCTGTTCTATTATTCTTTCAGAATGTTCAGCAGGAGGGGCACCTGGGTGTCTCAGTCGGTTAAGTGTCTACCTTCAGCTCAGGTCATGATCTCTGGATCCTGGGGTAGAGCCCCATGTCAGATGCCCAGCTCAGTGGGGAGTCTGCTTCTCTCTCTCCCTCTGCCCCTCCCCCTGCTCATGCACATTCTCTCTCTCTCTTTTTCTCTCTCAAATAAATAAAATCTTTAAAAAAAAATGTTCAGGGGTGCCTGGGCAGCTCAGTTGGTTAAGCGTCTGCCTTCAGCTCAGGTCATGATCCCAGGATCATGGGATCTGCATCGGGCTCCTTGCTCAGCGGGGAGTTTGCTTCTCCCTCTGTCCATCCCCTGGCTTGTGCTCTCTCTCTCTCTCTCTCGCTCACTCTCTCTCTCAAATAAATAAATAAATAAAATCTTTTAAAAAATTACTAATCAGTTGTGATAATAACACCTGTTGGGCCTGCTTTAAAACACACACACACACCACACCCCTCCCCCCAACACACACCCAGCACATCATGCTATCATTTTAGTGCCATCCAGCCTCGTTTCTCATTCTAATCACTGCAGTTGTCTCCCTGCTTCATCTTAGGCCTCCACCCCCCCCATCTTTTCTCCACACAGCGGCTGAGAGGCTTTAAACTATAAATCAGATTCTATTACCTTTGTTCTCCAAATGTCTTCTCGTCTTGTAGAACAAAAGCCTTCATGCTCTAGCTCCTGGATACCTCATCGGTACCATTACTTGGGCCTTGCTCTGCTCTGTCACAAGCTCTGGAACACGCCACACTCCTGCCCTTGAGCCTTTGAACTTGGCCTCTCTACTGGGAATGTTCATCCTCCACACACCCACACGAGCTCCTTCACTCCTTTCAAGTCTCTGCTCAGATGTTACCTTTTAAGCGAGGTCTTCCCTCACACCCTGTCTTGCATAGCAGCCTCCCCCACAAGTTGTCTTTTCTCCTTAGCTTTGTTTTCATTCAAAGCAGTTATCACTACCTGACATTATAGTCTCTGTTGATTTGCCTATTGTCTGTCTCTTCCATGAAAAGACAAGATTCATGACATGAGGCACTTTATCCAATTTATTGCTGTATCTTAGGCTCAAAAATATTGGTTGAATAAGTGAATTAATGCATAAAATACTTTTTTTTTTTTTTTTAACGAGCAAGTTGAATTGTTAAGTAGGGTGGTTCACAATCTGGGACTCCCAAACTCCTAGATGTCTTTGAAGGTAGCAATTTTCTGAATTTCTGAAGGTCTGGTCAGATTTGAGTTAAGAACAGGGGCAATGGTTCTTTCATAGATGTGTCCCCAGAATCTGGGACAATTCCTGGAATACACTGAGCACTCAACAGATCTAACTGTATTATAGTAAATTGGAATGGAATGGCAACGTGGGAAATAAGGAATCACATTTTCTCCAAGCAAAGTCTTTGTGATAGCACCATATTTGAAAGGCAGAGAAATACTGAGAAAGCTTATGTACAAGGACAGTAACCATAAAATAAAATTATCTTTAAATAAAGTCTTTTTTTTTAAAGATTTTATTTATTTATTTTGACAGAGAGACACACAGCGAGAGAGGGAACACAAGCAGGGGGAGTGGGAGAGGGAGAAGCGGGCTTCCTGACGAGAAGGGAGCCCAATGTGGGGCTCGATCCCAGGACCCTGGGATCATGACCTGAGCCGAAGGTAGACGCTTAACAACTGAGCCACCCAGGCGCTCCTAACGTCTTTTTTTTTAAAAAGATTTTATTTATTTATTTGAGAGAGAGAGAGAGAGGGTTGAGGGACAGAGGGAGAAGCAGACCCCCCGCTGAGCAAGGAGCCTGATGCAGGGCTTGCTCCTAGGACCCTGGGATCACGAACTGAGCTGAAGGCAGACACCCAACTAGCTGAGCCACCCAGATACCCTAGTTTACATAAAGTCTGTTAATAAGTGCTGTTATGGACCGAAATGTATCCCCCTTCCCCAATTCATATGTTGAAGCCCTAACCCCGAATGCGATTATATTTGAAGATAGGGTCTTCAAAGAAGTTATTAATGTTAAATGAGGTCATATGTGTGGGGCCCCAATCCAACAGGACTTGGTGTCCTTATAAGAAGAGGAGGGAGACACCATGAACACACATGCACACAGAAAAGGCCACGGGAGTACACAGTAACAAGGTAACTATCTGCAAGGTAGGAAGAGGCCTTACCAGAAACTGACCCTGCCAGCACCTTGTGCTTGAACTTCCAGCCTCCAGAACTGTGAAAAAAATAAATTTCTGTGTTTAATGACCTAGTCTGATATCAATCACTATGAGTGAAGATATTAATCATCTTAGAATGTGGAGGATAATAAGGAAGGTACACACATTCTCCCCTATGTTTAGGGGGTAGTGTCAAATTCATTGTTTTATGTACTCTAAGAGAAAAAAAAATCCATGAAATTAATTTCAGTTTTAAATAACGAATAATCTGGTTCTCTCTCATTCAAATAATGCTCATAATTTAAAAGTCCTGGAAAAATAAGTTCACAATCAAATTTTTTATCTGTAATTACAGTTATATAAGTGAAACCTTGGTAATTTGATAGCTTGCTCATCTTTTGTTTTTATTTTTTAAGTACTATGGAACCAAAAAGAACCTTGATCTTTCAGAATTTTCAATGAAAATAATCCTTTGACCAAACTAAGGTTCCCCATAGTAACAACCTACAGACAGCCATGTTCAGGGACTACACTGTGTTTATTCCTTTCTTTGGCAATGGAGTTCCTTTTGACCATTTTTTAAGAATTGTACAAGAAAACTGTCTGTTTCCTGTATTCCGTTTGGCAAACAAACTGTGACAGAGCGATAGAAAAATATAATCCTGGGATGCACTTGCAGTCAATGTGTAGAAGGGTGGCGACAGCATTTAAACACTGCCACACACTGTCCATCCCCGTGTCCTGCAGCCAAAGGACTCCAGCTTCTGCCTTTGAACTCGATGGCCGTCTGAAACACAAGCACTACGAGGTTCACTAAATTGTTAATTCTTTGAAAGACTTCTCAAAAAGGAAAGTATAAAAATCTGAAGACTCTAATAGCATATTCTCATTAAGATTCCATGAAGCACATGACTGATTATAGTTGGGACAAGCAGTCTTCGGAGCACACTGGGCACTGTTGAAAGAGTAGAGGCCCCGCCAGAAAGATTTTATATGTAATGTATGAAACTTATGAATGTGTCTTAACTTTTCATTTTACAAATTTCATAACATTCTCTCTTTATCAAAAGTGCTAATTTTATGTGATACAACATAGAACCAAGTTCTCTTGGTTCAAATAAAAGTATATCTGCCTTTTCTAAAAACAGTGTAATATCCAGATGCCTGTGATGTACTTCAAGGTAGGAATCATATTTACTTTAGTTTTGTTTTTCCTGTAACTGGTAAAAGAGGAAATACTGAGAAAATGCTTGTTGACTGAATGAATGGATGACTAAGCATAATTCAGAATTCCAGAAATTTCTAGAGAATACCAGATCCTTAAAGAAGCTACCATCTACTTCTAGTCTCCCCCTTTTCTGAAAATAATATGTAGAGGGAAAGACTCAAAACTAGTCAGTTTCACATCCTTTTTTATTCAGCAACATTATCCTCAAGAGAAATAATGGCACTAAAACAAAATCCTTGTTTATTCTAATTACCTTGGACAGAAAAATGGAACCAGGATGTGTTACTCTTTGCTGTTATCTAAAGTCCTTAACTTTAATAAAATCTAGCATGAAGCATTTCCAATTAACATAAAAACAGCAAATTGAAAAATGTCTTTTGTGTATGTAACATCAACTCAGGATTAATTCCATTCATTGAAAATTGAAAACTTCTAATATGGTAAGAGAAGATCAGATGCTGGAAAAAAATAATATTGACTGGGCTAATTTTAAACTCATGATCACAACCTCAAGTGGCTCTGAGTGATGCCTCGCTGTTCTTCTATTTCTAGTCAGTGTCACCCAAGATGACTGTATTGGATCTTCTTCTTTCTCTTCAGATCCCGAATAACTCCTGCTTCTCTTCAATCTCAGCTGCTTATTTCACTGGGGAAAAAAAAATAACAAGAGGACTTGACTTCCACAGGTGCTCACCACCAAGCTGTCCTACCTCCACCTGGATTCACACTGTCTTCCCACTTGTCCTAGTCCATTTGGGCTGCTATGACAGAGTTCCACAGACTTGGTGGCTTATAACAACAAAAATTTCCTTCTCGTGGTTCTGAAGGCTGGAAGTCCAAGATCGGTGCATTATGGTCGGGTTCTGGTGAAGACCATATCGTGGGTTGCCAACTGCTGACTTCTCACTGGCTCTTCACATGTGGAGGGAGTGAGGGATCTCTCTGGGGTCTCTTTTAGAAGGGCACTAATTCCAATCAGGAGGGCTCCACGCTCATGACCTCATCACCTCCCAAAGGCCCCACCTCCTAATCCAATCACTTTGGGGGTCATATTTCAGGATATGAATGGAGGGGGCAGGAATATTCAGACCCTAGCATCACCTGTTGTATTGGATAAACTGTCTGTGCTCACATGTAAGGTCAGCTCCTCCCCTTGTTCAGTAGACCTGTCCTCACTCCTGCTCCTACTACATGGACTCCACAACTGTCCAACGTCTCTCCCACGCCATCCATTTTCCCCTTTCTACGAGATTATTTCCATCAGTATACAAATATGCTATGTATAATATAGCCCATCTTCAAACAAAACAAAACAAAACAAAAAAGCTTGATCCAACCACCTTCTCTAGCCACCAGCTCAATTCTTTGCTTTTCTTTTCACCAAAACTCCTTTAAATTCATACCCACTGTCATTAAAAATTAAGAGAGAGAGAAAATAAGGTGTTGGCAAGGATGTAGAGAAATGGGAACCCTCATACATTACTGGTGGGGATGTAAAATGGTGCAATCCCACAAAGTTAAACACAGCATTATCAAATGACCCAGCAATTCCACTCTTAAGTATGTACCGAAGAGAACTGAAGACATATGTTCATACAAAAACTTGTACATGGGTGCTCATAGCAGCTTTATTCATAATAGCAAAAAAGTAGAAACAACATAATGTCCACCAACTGATGAACAGATAGACAAATGTGGTATATCCAAACAATGGACTATTATTCAGCCACAAAAAGGAATGAAGTATGGATATTTGCTACAACCTAGATGAACCCTGAAAACATGCTAAGTGACAGAAGCCAGACACAAAAGACCACATATTATATGATTCCTTTTATATGAAATGTCCATAATAGGCAAATCCACACAAACAGAAAGTAGATTTGTGCTTGCAGGGGACTGGGGAGGGAGGGAATGAGGTATGATTGCCAATGGGTAAGGGATTTTTTTTGGGGGGGTGATGAAAAGTTCTGGAATTAGTGAATGTCTGGAATCCACAACATTGTAGATACACTAAAAACCATAGGATTGTATACTTTAAAAGGATGAATGTTTTGGTAAGTACATTGTATTTCAATTTTTAAAGATTTTATTTATTTATTTATTTATTTATTTGAGGGAAAGGGGCAGAGAGAATCTCAAGCAGACTCCACAATGAGTGCAGAGCTGGATGCCGGGCTCAATCTCAAGACTCCGAGATCATGACCTGAGCTGAAATCAAAATTTGGGTGCTTAACTGACTGAGCCACCCAGATGCCCAGTACATTGTATTTCAATTTTAAGACTATTCTAATTGGTCTAAACCTATCTTGGCTCCTGTTTTCCCACTGTTTTCTTGGGCCTACCGGTTTTCCTTCCCAGTACGCCATAGAAACTACTATTTTCAATAGTAGTTTCAAAAACCATCTCAGTGTATCCAGTTAGCTTTGGAAGGGCAGGTAGTTCACTATTTCGGACAAACTAGGACCCTGCTGCTTGAGAAGCAGATGTTCACATTTATGTCTCATCATAAGCTGCCCTAATTCTGCATCTCCAGTTTTATCTTCTCCAAATTCCCCACTCCAAACTCTTTGCTCTAGCCAAGCTCACTTATTTTCTGTCCCCAAATAATAAAATGGGCATTTCCATTTCTAAGATTTTGCTAAGACCTTTGTCCTTCTCTGGAATGTTCCCTTCCTTTCCCTCTGCCCGTCCTTCAAGACTTATTTGAGATTCTGTTTCATTTGTTTATTCATAAACACTGAGTGTGTACTCTATATGCAGCGCACTGTCTGGAATGCTACGCTGGGGTTCAATAAAAACAAGGCTGTCCTTATGTAATTTATGTTCTAGCAGGAAAATGATACAAAATGAATTAAAACTAATTATTACAATTGTGATAAATGCTAATAATATGAGGCACAGGAAAATAAGATAACTTATAATGGGGGAAATGAACTGATCCAGGGCATCAGAAAGGCGTTCTCTCATATATTGTTGTTACAACCTCTTTGGAAATAATACAGCAATATATTCAATCACAAAGACCCTTTTTTGTTTTTTTAAAGATTTTATTTATTTGTCAGAGAGAAAGAGAGTACAAGCAGGGGGAGTGGCAGGCAGAGAGAGAAGCAGGCTCCCAGCTCTATCCCAGGACCCTGGGATCATGACCAGGGCTGAAGGCAGATGCTTAATCGACTGAGCCACCCAGGCATCCCAATCATATAGACCCTTTAACCAAGAAATTAATTCTTTTTCCTTATCCAAGTATAATTAACATATATTCAAGTGTTATACTAGTTTCAGGTGTACAATATAATGATCCAACAATTCTATGTATTTCTCAGTGCCAGCAATTCCACTTTTGAGAGTCTTATGATTTAACAGTGAAAGTACTAGTACTTAAAGTGGCATGTGACTGAGGCACCTGGGTGGCTTGGTTGGTGAAGCGTCCCACTCTTGATTCTTGATTTTGACTCAGGTCATGATCTCAGGGTCGTGAGAAGAAGCCCTGCATCAGGCTCCACAATCAGGGGGGAGTCAGCTTGAGATTCTCTCTCTCTCTCTCCCTTTGCCCCTCCCCTCTTCTGCGCTCTCTCTCTCTCTCTCTCTCTCTCTCTAAAATAAATAAATCTAAAAAAAAAATAAAATTGTGTGTGACTTTTGTTCCCAGCAAAGATGCAAGTCGTATAAGGTTTAAAATCCCATCCAGCCAAGCTGCCCATGAGGTTAACTCTCCAAGCCAGTCTTGTGGATGGAGGAAAGTAAATGAAGGTAATCTAATGTGCCATAAAGTACTATTCAAGTGGGTGCACTGATCATGCACAAAACATTTCAGAAAAATCAGATTTAGGTCTAATTGCATAATACAATGGATCTAGCACGAGAGCTTGCTGTAAGATCCTGATGGATGTCTCCCAGTAAAAACTTGCCCATTAAGGTGCTTTGACAAAATGGTTGCTGCAAATGAGGGCAATGGTCAGGGTGACTACTCAAGGCACATTTTATTGGCCAGATTAGTTGATATATATCATCCTTTGCCTCTGGAAGGCAAATTACTATATAAGATCCTGTCCAGCTGGTAAAACATCAAGGCTTCACTGCATTGTACCTTGAAGTAAAGGCTATCTGTTGTTAGGTTGAAGACAGAATAGTTCATCTTTACACAGGCCAGACAAGTGCTCAGTCTCCTGAGACAGTACCTGAGATTGTTTGGTTGCTGAGCCAAGGCAGCAAAAATCAAGCACGGTCAAATGAAGGCTGTGAAAGACTTGAGGGAGCAGGCATGCAGTAGACTACGTGCCATCTAACCTTTGAAAAGGAAGTCTTACAGCATCAATAGTGTAGCCTTGTGCCGTACTTCACCTGTTTCCATTCTGGACCAGTTGACATTGTCTAGTTATTTTACCTCCCATTACTGTGCTATTATTGAAGTCAAATTCCTTGTGAAGGTTGTGTAACATAATCCACATATGGTTAATGACGGTTCCTTTGACATTCAGGTGAGTGTGGCTGAGACAGCTTGTCTGATTGAGTACCCTAGTGAGCAAGGTGTGCACTGAAGAGTTATATTGCTTGCAGGGTTGAGTAATTCTCAAGCAAGCGATTTGGGTGGCCATTAGGCATGGACGTGAATGTCACAATCTTTGTTAGTCAGAGGCATGGATCTATCCTTATACTGTAATAACACCACCAGTAATTGCACCTTTGTGGGTTATTAAGAATGATATTGGCAGATACACATCTGGATCTGTGTGCTGCTCATGTGCTTTCCTGGCTTCTTCAAAGCCAAATGACAGTACAGAATCCCTAACACCTCTCTATGGTGGCTGCAATGGGGACAGAGGAGCAGCTTCCATGGTGATGTTACAGATAACATTCTCACCTGGTAAGTCTTCATGGCAGGAAACGTGTTAAGCTTGATATATCGAGGGGTGCCTCTTGAATAGCACTGTAAGCCTGATATTTCCATGCCAGAGCTACCAACCTGAGAAATGGTTATCAGGAGGAGCAGTAGGAATAACAGCCTGGGGGCGCCTGGGTGGCTTAGTCGTTGAGCGTCTGCCTTCAGCTCAGGTCATGATCCTCGGGTCCTGGGATCGAGCCCCGCATCAGGCTCCCTGCTCTGCGGGAAGCCTGCTTCTCCCTGTCCCTCTTCTGCTGCTCCTGCTTGTGCTTTCTCTCTCTCTATCAAATAAATAAAATCTTTAAAAAAAAAAGGAATAATAGCTCAGCTCAATAACTGTAGGCAATGGAAGCATGAACCCACATGGGGTGATGATTGAACCAGTGGCAGGAGTTCCTTGGGACATACTGGAACACAGGAATGTCACATCAGACTGGAGTTTATTGATCTTTGTGTTACTTGCCTTGATTGTTGCACTGATGACTGTAGCTAACGATTCTACAGCAGCTCTAACAACAGAGATGTCTGATGTCAACTTGTCTGTGATATAAGATCAATGAATGTCTTCTATGCCAGAATCACTCAGAGCTCTTTTTCCTCTTTGTAGCTCACTCTAGATGGGCTCCTTGGTTGAAAGCTCCTCCGATCCTATCTCTTGGTCTGAGAGAGCGGAACTTACCCCTGAGCTACCATGTCACATATCTTGGAGGTAACTCCTCAGATAGTGCTGGGGTATTAATTGCAATCAGCTGCTCCAGGTTGTATCCTGAACATGGCTCTGTTGACCTTGAAACCATGGATTAGGAGCATTCAGAGGAGCTCTGCAACTGCTGACATTTCCAGAATCCAACACTGGTTCCAAGACATAGTTTTTAGTGGTGGAAAAACTGGATACCACATGACTGTCCAGGAATAAGCAATAAGGGATAAAAGATTAATTTCTGGTATTTCTACACTATGGAATATTATACAGCTGATAGACATAAATTAGATCTATATGATTTATCTCAAATAATATTGGTTATAAAAGCAAGTTTTAAATCAATTTTTTTAGAATGAGTCCATACTCATAAAAATCTACATGGTTGTATATTTGAAAGAGCTTGGAGAAAGATGACAGGGCACTTGCTAAACTGTTAACATTGGTTACTTCTAATATATGGGCAAAATAACAGGGACTTCTTTAGAGGATTTCATACCTTCAAGGAATGGATTATTAGCTTTTACTTTGTCTATCTTTGGATCTCCTCACC